GCCCTTTAAAATGATTACAAAATCTCTGCTAAAACAGCCAATTAAAACCTAGTTGATTCAAATTAAAATTAACCCAAAAAACTAAATCCAAAGTCCTCTGATTAACCACCACTGTAATTTAAAGTAAACCACAAACCAGCTTAGTTTGAAGTTTTCTTGTAAACTTTAAAACAACGAAAAACTTGTTCGACAAAATTGCAATTACAAACAAAAGTTTCTCAGAAGCCGACAACAAAAACTATAAAAATAAAAACCGAAACCAAAACCGAAAAGGAAAAAGAAAATAAACGACAACAGAAACAAGTTGGAACAATTCTAGTCACAGGCAACAGCTAGAAAAAAAAAAACACACTCGAATAGCAACAAACACTAATAGTTGCTAAATAACGAAAAATATTCAGCTTTTAGCGCTCAGTTTTGTTCTTTTCGTGAACAGAGCCTGACTTTTCTGTTTCTGCGATTTGTGAGTGGGCCCCGGCAGCATTCTATAAGCGATTGTGATTGAGAACTCCCCTGAAGCGTTTATTGGCAGTAGGCGACTTGTTTTGGCCAATAATTCCATGACTTGTTCCAAGGCTGGGCCCCGTTCGTGAGATTATCGCCCGACCGCAGCGAAATTCGTGTGTTTGAACAGCTTTTTACTCGATTCAGTCGGTTCTGGTACAGAAGGTACCTTGGGTACACCAAGAAAAATGATCTAGTCTGGTAATTGTAAGAAAAAGGGGGTTCTAGGGTTATATTATATTGAATTTGTGTAAGGCTTGCCTTAGTATTTTTCAAAAGATATTTAGTTTAATCGAGAATCTTTCTAGAACAAGCTCTTGTCTTCAAATATCAAGTTAATTAAATGTCCAATAGATATAAAATTATGGTACAGATTGTTTGATGTAATGCCAAAGGTTTAGCAAATAATCACAAGTGACTCATTTTTTCTGGGTGCACATATATTTTTGTTTATTTCCAAAGTTAACTTGTACATTTGTTTATTTATGTTTTTTGCTGGGTGTATAAATATGATGAAACTGGTAAAATAAACAAAAACAGAGACAGTGGCAAGTGTTGTCACAATTGTAACAAAGATGTCTTGGATCGTTTTCAAGCTCTTGAAATTGAGGCTCTCGAAAAAGGTTCTTGAACTTTACGACAGCGATTTTTGTGTGTGTAAAGAAAGTGTGTGGGTTGAGATTTCCATACATGCATATTCATATTTATATTTGTTGGTCTACATATATATTTTATTCGACTCTGAAGATCTTGATCTTGTCTCATGTGTGTGTGTGTGTGTTTTATTTCCCTTTCTATCTATTGTTTCCTTTGCGAATTCTCACGCACTTCGCACATAAATTTTCATATGATTTATGATCACGCGGCTGACGGGGCCAACCTTTGTGTGCAAAGTGGATCAGGTCAGTAGTTGTGAACGAAAAATAAAAATAAAAACTAATCAGCTAATCAGATCACCCGCGATCACAAGTAGTGCTCCTGAAGAAAGAAATAATAAAATAAAATATCACTGGGCTCACTGCCAGATCGCACTTTCCCAAGGAACGTTTTCGAGGTCTGGTGTCTGGATCGCATCGCATCGGATCGTATCTTGGCTTGGTATATATAGCCGACTTGGTGCCAAATCAATGTCTGCGTGTCTGACATATTCAATTTGAATATTGTTTATTCGCCAGTCTCGCACGCTTCCACACTTCCACTCTCTCCCCATTGGGTTTTTCGCCTTTTTTTTTCTAGCCTGCAGTTGACAACTTGCTACTTTTACTTGCGACAATCAACGATCAACGATCGACGATCGACGCTGACCTAAAAAGCGGAACAACCGCAAAAGCTGATTGAATGCGATTGCGAACTGCGACGGCGGCGACGTCGTCGACTCTCCCATTGAGGCCTTAATAAACAAAAACAATTACGCTATTGCAAGTGTCATTCGGTACTCAGTACCCAGTGGGTTCATTTCGTAGCAGGGTATGATCGAACGGTTATACTCTGTGTTTTGTAAAAGCCACTAAATTAACTAAATGCAAGTTTGATTTGAGTTCTGTAAGGGCAAAAAGGTGATAGTGATCATTCATATTATGGAGAAGTTATTAAAGCAGTGTTCTGATCAATAATAAATAGTGTGAAATCTGAAATACATTTCCAGTAAAAATCATAAGGTTTTGCCTGAAAAATTCCTTTAAAACAATTTAAACGATCTAAAATCTTAGGTTTATCTTCAATTTGAAGAATATTCTAAGGGAAATAATCTGCATAATACTCCTCAAGTCTCTAAGCGATTTTATCCAAAGATAAAATAACTTTTAAATAAATCTTTTCCCACTCTAATACTTGACTTAAAGTAAGGATCTCTTGAAATTCTAATAATTCCTTTTGAATAAATGGCTTCACTAAAATTTGCCATCTTAAAACCATCAATTGTTTATATGTATATATTCCAAGTACATTGTACAATTGATGGACAACGCCCACCAATAAACAAATAAAACATGTTTCGTCTCAATGATTGATGCACTTAGAAATGCTTAAATATCTAATGATACACTTAAGCAGCATTAGAAACATTTAAATAGCTGAGTCAGTTTATTGCATGGAATTCGGAGTTTGAAATTGCTGCCAATTAAACTTTTTCGACATGAAACTAAATTCCATAGCATACCAAATATGTCAACTGAATTAATTTCATAACTGTCCTTATTTGCCATGTGATTCATGTGAAAAGGTGAATCAGTTCAAATGAAAAAATATAATAAAAATGGCTTTGATTTAGGTAATAACAAGCAAAAGCTAGTTGGCCTTGTTAAATAAATGTTGTAAATGAATAATCCAGAGAATGTAGAGCAAAGTTAGGTGATTCTAAGTCCTGTCTCTCTTTTTCTCAGTGTCTATCTGTAATATTTTACTGTCAGAAACCTCTGGTTAAAAGTCATAAAATAGTTTGTTTTTGAAGGGCATTCCCTGTCGTAAACGTGGCGTATGCGCAATATGCGAACAAACAAAGTAAATGTCACGGTGAACAAATTGCAATTATTATCGAACCACAAATATGCTTTATCTTAGCCCCCGACGATCCAACGTTCTGTGTCTCTGAAAAACCGAAAAAATAGATTATAAACATAAGATTTATAGAAGAATGTAGACTCTCAACACGACCCATGGAATTCGAAAACTAAACCAAAGATAAAATGGCAAAGAATGATGCGAAGCCGCACGTAAATAAATTAATAAACCCAATCAAGAAACCCCGACAAAAACACAACGAACAAAACAAATCAATTTGCAAATGAATAAACGAAAGTAGTAACCAAAAAACCAAGAAAACAAAAGCGAATAATCAACGAGTGTGCATAACCAGCCAAGGAAAAGTTCCGGGCAATAAAAGAAAATTATACAAGAAAATTGCATGAATTGGCGGGCGAAAGGAAGAGTCGTCCCTCCTTCAATCCCCGAATCACAGCCAAAAGAGGAGGATTAGCAGCCACCATGTCCCGGTGTGACAATCACAAGTCCCGTCGCCAGCAGCTGCCCGTTCCGGCGCCCCTCTCCTCCTCCTCCGCCTCCGCCTCCTCTCGCAGCCACCTCCATTCGAGTCACTCGGATTTGGGCGGTGGCGAGTCCTTCCTGCAATATTGCAGCGACAGCGAGAAGCGACCGCCACCGATTGTGGTCGTTGTCGGAGATGGACGGAGCCGGGTGCGTCGGGTGGTGCGCACAGCCACGCGGCACGTGACGGTGGTCAGTCTGTCGACGCGGCACAAGGAGACGCAGACGCACACCTCGCACCATGTGACGGCTGTCAGGTAAGCGCCACATACTCTACTGGGAGTCCCAATTCCCGGACTCCATTAGCGAACACAGCTGTGACTGCACTGGAACAAAAGAAAGGGTAGAATCGGGATATCCTTCTAAAATTTAAATTCTTTTAAATACTTTAAGAAACTCCTTTTTCTCTCTGATTAAAAGTACTTGAAATTCTTGAAATTAAATCGAATTGAAAGTAATTTTTGGCCAGGTGAATCGCTTATCGCTTCCATTCGTTATTATCCGTTATCTTTATGGGGGCCCCGACATTGTTCTTGGGGCTTTGTAGACGTATTTTTATGGCCTGACTATTCTTGGCCCACAAGCCCAGTAAATATCGGTCGAGATAAACCAAATTATTTATTAACTTGGGGTTATTCTGAGGGCTATGTAAACAAGAATTGCTGGATGCTTTTTAGCTACCGGTATTTCATTATGAAAGAGTGGGAATATACATAAATACAAAATAATATATAGGTTTTAAGGAAGTTTACTATATTTTTAAAGAATTTCTTAATTAAAAAGTTATGTTTTAGGTTAGGTTACTAAGGATTATGTTTTATATCTATGGACATTAATGCACTACGGTATTAAAAAAATATATAGCTTGTAATTTTTATATAGAATTTTCGTAAGCCAATGTGCTTTGAATTTTTGAATTTTAATATATTTAATTCTTTGAAAAGTTAAAAATGTCTTTAAGGTTTGAAACTTGTCTACTGTGGCATGTGGATTGCAAGTGGACTTCAATATCATTACAAGCATATTTCGTAGTCAAAATTCAGGGCCTACTTCTGGGCTACAAATAATTGAACAAAGTCATGTGTAAAATACATACGATCCACACGTAAATCTTGGTTCAAATATAAAGTGTAAAGTAATAATTGATACAATTTAAATATTTAACAAAGTAAACATATAAATAAAATAAATAATAGTAAATAATAATAAAAAATAAATAATAATAAAAAATAAATAAATAAATTGTATAATTTACAAAGAATATTAAGAAATTAATTCGATTATTTTAAGTGTTCCAAATAATGAAGGAAATAAATATTACAGAACAAAAATGACATAAAAAACAATCAATAATTAAAGCAAAAGAACAGCAAAAACTGAGTAATGAAAACAAAAAATAACAAATAAAAATTACACTTTAAAAATTCTCAGTAAAATATAACATCAATTCACACTCTTCCTTTCTCTATCCTGTCATCTCTTTACCCACAAAACAAATTCTATGTTTCCATATTTGAGTCAAAATTTTAATATCATCCCCATATACTTTGGGTAATCAACATCATGGATCCGAATATGATGCATTACCTTAAACCTGCCGAAAATCCGCACCTGGATGTGAAGTACTTCCTGGCCGTTTACGCCTGCATGATCGTGATGATCGTCTGCATTTCGGTGGGCTTCCTGCTGATGGGCAAGGACTCAATCGTCGAGACGAGGAAAGAGCGTTTGGAGGCCAATCCTGTGAAGCAGACCAGGTTGCCGCACCAAGAAGCACGTCGCAGAAACAATTCAATTGTCTAATGGGGCTTTTTCCTATACGATTTGTTGTTGTTGCTGGGGGAAAATGCAATCGGAATCGGTCTTTTTGTAGTCTGTTTTTCTTTTCTACCGGCAAACCAAACCAACCCCAACCCCCCCAAAAGTCTGGCACACTCCATAATAATGTGTTAAGCCTTCCCCTTTGCGCATAATGCACATAAAGAAACTAATGTAAAATCAATAATAATTACGGCGGCGAGTGGGTCACGTCGAACGACGTCGTTGCTGGACACTTGTTGCATACGAAAGCAGGAGAGGAGAGGAAGTCCATCCACACGGCACAGTTTTGGCTCGCAAGCGACAGCGGTTGAGATACGAGATACTTAGATACAGATGCTTGGTCAAACACTGTGGGGACTTGGACTTGGAAGTGCATCGCATCTCCAACAGCTGAACATGTGCAACGCAAACAATTAGGGCGACGTGTGGCAGATGTTTTCAGGACACTTTAAAAAGCAAAAATCAGAGGGATGCGGAGAGAAGTGGCTACAATAACAGACAGGCGAGTTTCGAGTTCACCAGCCCCGAAAAAAAACTACCTGCCCTTGTGTTGTGTCCTTTCGAAACTCAAAACAAAAAGCAAAAGCAGAGAGAAGAAATAATAATAAGAGAAGCCCACACAAAGCCACGCCAGGTGCAGATGGAAAACCTGGCCAAGAGAGAGAGAGATGGACAAGGATGCCCCTTTCAATTTGTGTATTTCGTTATCCTTCGGTTTGTTGGGATCCTGCTGATCCTGTTTTTGCTAGGTGCAAATAAGCAGCTGCCCTCGAAATTTCTGGTCTCTTTCTATATACATGTGTATCTCGGGAAGGTCCTGCTGTGGCAAATGATTTCAAAAAGATTCGGATTTGGAAGCCATTCGAATTGCATACGTAGATAATGAATTATTCGAGGATTTTCTGGCACATCGAATCATAATTTCAGGGTACATCTATTTTGGCTTTAAGACGATGGAAAATCAATTATCAAGAGAATGTTTTAAAGGATTATAAGATGGAAATATGGTTTGTATTTATATATAAATTAAAGGTTTCTATTGTATTTTAAAAATCACAGAAATTGGCAAATAAATCTCAAGAAAATATATTTTTGAATTGCATAAAAAAGGTTCTTTATTTTACAAAAATCACAAAACTCTTCTTAGATTAAGTAAAGACATTAAGGTACTTCCCCAGCTTACCTCACTCTTTCCTTCATCTGTTGAGTTCTCCTTGCAGACATCCCTTAAAAGTGCTCCATCCTGTAAAATATCACTGCCAAAATCTCTTTTATTATCCGCCCAATTGTTGCTTCTCTGCCAATGCATCCTGTGTGTGTGTTTATGGGATCCTCTAGGGTCCTTGCTTCGCTCCGATCGATAAGTTTGTCATCGTTGACTAATCATTTCCCTCACTTTCCATTTCCGATCAGACTCTGATCATCTGTCTGTCCTTGTCTCACTTTGCCTTTGTCTGTGTCTGTCTCTTTTCAATAATGGATCCTTTTACGCTTAGGATTTCTATATTTTTTTCCGCTTTTCTTTCATGTAGGGGTAGCACAATTGTTCTTTTTTTTTTTTTTTTTGGGTAACCCGACGAGGGCCAAACAAAACAGATGCATTTCGTGTATCCCCGCTTTTGTGTGGGATTGCTATATGTAGGTGTGCGAATGCACTGGGAGAAAATATATAGTAATTATAATTCTGACTAGGAAATAAGTGTTTTAATAAATATATAAAGCTTGGTTTATTATTTAAGACAATTTTCCTGATGGTTCCTTTTTGTTATATAGTTTGCTTTATTCAAAAGATGGCATAAATTGTGTTTCTATAATATTTTGCTAAAAATTATGTTAGTTTCTTAGCTAGCCTATAAAAATATATGTGTTATTGGGATGACTTTTATTAGAACTTGATTATTTTATGGAGAAACTCTTAAATTAAATTCAAAGTATTTTCTATAAACTCTTTGCATCTCTTTTCTGCCTTAGTTTCTACACAGATTTTAATATTTCGCTTTCCTTTTCTCTCAGTGCACTCACAGGAATTTAATGAGCCATGCGAAACACGTTTTTAGAGGGAGAGAGATAGAGAAAGAGAGAGTAAGAGAGAGATATCGAGGGAAGAAACGCCGACGCGCCTGCTCAGTGGTCTTCTTCCTACACGCTCGTTTTTCCGAGCCTCGCGCTCGGTTTAGTTAACACGCGAACATTGCCGGGATCGGACGTTACCTTCCCATCCCAAAAGATATATGAAAACCATATAAACCCATATAGAAGAAGCACCTTAATATGTCAGTTTCAGTGGTCTTCCGCCGCTTGGTTCGGTTCTGTTTAGTGCTTCCTCTGACGTCCGAATATTTAATTTGAATATCGTTGTAAAGCGATCGCGAGTCGCGTATTAATTAACAATCTAGCGAGCGGCCTGTGATCTTGTGATACTTCCATTCCTCTTGGTCAATAACTGTGCCTTAGGTGCGACCAACCCACCCCGTTTAGTGCATAAATCTTGAGCATTTTGTGATATAGACCCCATCATGATCATTTGCATATCGGGTTTTATAATTGGCGAAAGGTAGGAACCCATTGTTGTCGTCTGACCTCGAAAACGAAAGTTCTCTTATCGGTGGGGTGTCTTTGATAAATAACCAAAAATTTGGGGCTTGGTTTTTGGAAGATAGAAATCTAAAATTCCTGCAAAAGAGCCATTAATCTAGAATTTATTTTATAGATTATATATTGTATTTTATCTTAGTCACAAACATAGCTCACTTGAGTTATTTGTAGAGGAAGTGTAACAATAAACTTTGCTGATTCAAGTGCCGTATTTCGATTTCCGATATAGATAATGAGTACTTTAACTTAATAACAACCTGCACTTCCATAATCATTTTACAAAGCAATTTATTAATCAGTCTTTTATCTCTATTCTATTGCAGCTTTCCCCAAAAGAGCCTTGAACGGAGTGGCTCTACCCAATATGAGCTGGCTGGGGCGCAGCAACCGGGATCCGCTAGCGCCTCGAGCTGCACGGATAGCGCCAGTGTCGGTGGCTATGTCTACTTGCAGAATCACTATGCTCCCGGTGCCCACAGCTCCTCCTCCGCCGCCATTAACTATCCTGCGCAACAGCATCCACAGATGGTCTACCAGATCCAACAGTATCCCACGTGCCATCAGCAACAGGCGCAGGCGCATCATCAGCAGCAACAGCAGCAGCAGCAGCACCTCCATCAGGCCGCTGGTCACTACATGCAGGTCGCGGCGACAGGTCAATACCACCACCATATGCTCCACGGCCATGGGCACCATGCCCATCATCATGGACATGGCGGAGCGGTGGTCATTGCCGGGAGTGGAGTGGGAACGGGTCTGGGAGCCGGAGCCACCAGTGTGATCATGCAACAGCAGCAGCAGCACCAGCAGCAGCAACAGAATATGCACAAGAAGAACTCCATCCGGAATGGCGGGGATGTCCTCAAGCGGACGCGAGCTCAGTCAGCGTGAGTATTCCTTCATAATCAGAGATCAGAGGGGGATAGCTGGACAAACAAAATGTGTATTTTGGGAGGACAGGAGGTGTAGAGGAGAGGCTTCCGGGAATTGTTTATTATGCAATTAAAGTGTGCTGCAGCTCAAATAAGGGAGAAATTTCAAGGGCTTTTACCTATAATTTTAGTGTAATGTAAAGCAGATGGTTTGGAAATTGTGATTAGATAAAGAAACCAGGATCTTAGAGTCTTTAAAGGTCGAAATATAGAGTAAAAGTAAGGCATTCCATTACTTGAAGATTGAGATGTACCATATTATCATGCTTATCAATAATCTTTAATGATTAAATAGTAAAATTAATTATATATTTACTGCCAATCAAATTTAAACTTCAATCCACAAATAGACCTCCATCTAAAAAGTATCTAAAAATATAATTGATGACTAAATATCTTAGGGAATCTTATATCAACTTATAGACTCAGATTACGTATATTAAGTAATCTTTTTCCAGAAAGTTACTTCAAGAGTGATAACTTTATTTTAATTCAATTTAATTAAACGCGAATGTCCGTTTATCAGTTTTTAGCAATAAATTATTCATAGAATGAGCAGCAACTTTAGAATTCTCTGTCAGAAACCTTATCAATGGCGATTATAAATTCATTATCTAGAGAATGTGCTGCGTATAAACAAAAGAGCAAATGCGAAACGCAATGCTTAGTTTGAGGTTTGTTAGCCAGCAATAATAATATTATTAAAATGCCATAGAAAATGACAGATTCTGTAAACAATAATTGAGGCTATCAGAGCGTTTGCGTGTGCAATCCATCATCAAGTGCAGAGCCGGAGACTTATCTAATTAGTTATCTGAAAAAGTAAAAGTGTGCCTGCGGGGGGATCGACTGACCATTCGTCAGCCTGATGAGTTCGGACTTTGTACGCTGGGAATTTAAAAAGTCACCATACCAAAGGCGGTTGGATATAGCCGAGGCAGAAGGTATCAAATTAGATTAGACACCGCCACAAGATAGCGCCGGTTTGGGTAAATATTTGCGAGACTGCAGCACATCATCATCTGATGAAATTCATCTAGAGTTCTGCAGGGGGAAAGGGAGATGCCCAAAGATAGTTCTCTCACTGAAGAACCTGAAGAAACACAAACAGATCTAAGGAAACAATAGCTAATTGGTGGCATAAAACTCTCGACAATAGGCAATAATGTTATTGCCGCCCCTCGAGAAGCGAATTTTAATCAGGTCGATAGCCCAGAGCTACAGAGGTACTGGTTCCCAAGATACTCGTGGCGCTATCTTATCGGTTTCGGTGGGTCTGGGTATGGGTATGGGACCTCCGCCAGTGCCAGTCATTTGCAAATTCTCAACCCACAAGAGCATAGGGGCACCGGACGGATATAACCATTCCCATGATACGAATACTTATCGAACGTCCATCAATTGTCTGTCCCACAGCTACGAACTCTCCCAAGATCTGCTCGAGAAGCAGATTGAGCTGCTGGAGCGCAAGTACGGCGGAGTGCGAGCCCGCAACGCGGCGGTGACCATTCAACGCGCCT